CTAGTGACTTGACTCCTAGGGCCCTAGACAAGGCTTCAGACTAGACTAGACTCGACTCGACTCGAGTCGACTCATCTTGTCTGAGTCAAACTATTGATAACTATTGGTCATGCCACATCATGTCATAGTCATAGTCATATAATCATAATCATAGTCAAAGGATTCGCACTCGCAACCATCGCCACAGTCGGGCTCATCGTTACTTAAAACTTAGGACCTCGGACCTGAGACCTCAGGCATAAGACGATGTAGGATAGCACGGACAGGACTTAGACTATAGACTTAGACTTAGAGACTTAGAGCGCGAATAACTAGAATTAGAACTAGAATTAGAAACTAGAGTAATATAGAAACGACCAGTGACCAGTGACCAGCTGATCGTGACTCCAAGCAGCTCCCGCACCAACCGACCCCCCAAAGCACCACAGGCCCTGATCTCGAAGATTGAAGATACGAAACACTGTCACTATCACTTGAAAACTGTCAGACTCCACAACTCTGAGATGCAGTCTGCCTGCGGGCAGGTGTTGAGGAGTCCCCTGTGCACTCCGGTGAATCGAAGCCCTTCACCTGCTCGAAGACAATGCACTTCGGCTCAAAACGTTCGTACCACTTGAGAAGCGAATCGAAGGTGGTGTCATGCTCAGGGTGCTCTCGAACTGATCCTGCGCAGAACCGCTTGTTCCTCATGCAGCTGAATGGATGGCACGGGCTGCCACACACTGCCAGATCCGGGCACACAGGGGCACTTTGACACCCGGAGCTGCACGTTGGATGCAAAAGACACGCTCTATTCGCTGTCTGTGCGTCTAATGAGTCAAAGAAGTGAGTGGGGGCCGTGTCTGTCAGCTTGGCTCGCTGCATCACAAACTTGCGACAGTTCTCCTTCATGTCGGAGCAGGACATCAGATTGAACTTCACGTGCAGTTCCTGTATCGGGGCATGCACTCCACACAGTCACTAGATACTAGAGTTCCTAACTGAGACTGCATGACTAAGACTTCTAAGACGTAAAACTCTGCGACTTGAGACTCTCGCAACATCTACCCGGATCTACCGATCTAGCTGCTACCTGGCTAACCGGCTAACCCCTCGACTTCTGGCCTCTAAACTCTAGACTGTGACTAGACTCGACTTGACCAGACTGACTTGACTAGATTCCAGCTTCGACTCTGTGCCTATGCGACTCAGCTAACCAACTATAACTACGGAGCAACTGTACCGTAACTAGTGACTATGACTAAGTGACTAAGTGTGACCGACTGAGTGAGCGACTGACTGACTAACAGACTAACAGACCAACAGACAAAGCAAAGCCGGCCTTGAGCACCTCTGCTTCTGCGCACAAGCCGGTGCAGCCCGACAGCAGGTTCAACTGTCGTGCTTGCTCAGGAATCTCAAGCCCTGCTGTATGTTCCTTGAGCATGCGTGCCCACCAAGCTGTCGGCTCCGTCAAAGCATCACTCTCCGAATCAGACGACTCTCTCAAGCCCTCTGCTTCATCGACCGCTGTCTGCTGGCTACTCAGCACATCATCGAAAAAATCATCGAAAACATCCATGTCGTCATACGACTCCGGAACCATGGCCATGGCAAAGCTACGCCGGGAAGCAACTGCTAAGATTGATCTAGAATCTAGAACCTAGAATCTAGCAATCTAGTAGTCTGCAGTAGCACAGTAGCAACACTGGTAAAATTGTCCTGATGTGCAGAGTTGCACAACACACATCTGTTCAAGGGTAAGGCGGGTATCTGGTAAGGCGGGTAAGGTACGGCTTAGGCGGGTAAGGCTGCTAGCTAGGGCCTGGGCCGCTGTACGTATGCCTGTGCTTAGCTGCTACTATGCCTATGCTCTGCCGTGGCCAGAAGTGGCCAGAGTCTAGAAGCATTGTCGGCGGCATGCAACAGTATTCCACTACTCTCCATAGCATTGTCACTTGTCCGCTCACAAAACTTTTAAAATTTCAGAACATAAATCTCGGTTGAGTTGAAGCCATGAAAATTGGTCTGATTTAATCATGAAAAAGAATAGTCATGAGCCATCATGTCCAGCTGCTTGCAAGCACATGTGCACCGCGACACGAGATTGACAGATCTGTTGCTGCGCTTCTACTGACTCCTAGGTCTTAGGACCCTAGGACTTTAGGACTCTAGGAAAACTGTGGGGCAATTTCCAGTAGAAATGCCCACAGAAACATGTTGAATCCTCGGTTTCTAAATATTGGTGGACCCCGTTTGATTCTTGCTTTCTTTGGAACTTTCGATGCCAAAAGAAGCGAGCGGCGGTCAAGGGATCTGGGCCAGCACGGATCGTTCTGATGGGTGGCCACCCTCTCCCTTGGAAGGAGGTATGGTTTTCCAGAGGTTTCTTAGAGTCTTAGAATATCAAAATGATGGGTGGCGACCCTCTCCCTTGAAAGGAGGCATGGTTTTCGTGAGTTTAGCAGCTTTTTTTGGAACCCTCGACTCGATGCAAAAACCTGAACCCCGATACAAAAAAGCTTGTATCCGGATCGTTTGCAAACTCTAGCTGACACTAGCTGCAGCTCCTACAGTCCTACACTAGCTTGATTCCGCTAGCTACACTCTCCAGCTCTTTAGCCGTTCAGCTCCGGCCCTGGCCGCACTCACAATTCAAACTCTGTTTCGCTTAGTGAATTGCAAGGCCTCACTGAAAAGCACCGTGCTCGTTTTCTAAAACTCTTTCGTATCGTTGGAACACGGCTTTGTTGTTTGTCAAAACCATTTCATGTTATGAGTCACCGCAGATTCTGCCTCGTTCGACTGCTCGAGTAGCCGGCATGACCTGGGCAGCATGTTCAGCACTTATCTAGAACGCAGCCCCAGCCTTGGATGTCTTGACTCTGAACAGTCGTAAGGGCTAGGAAACGAGAAAACTCATGTGATTGGCGTGAGTCTGTCTGGCCCCCGACATCGCTGTGCAGGAAGCTCCCCTGCAAGTTCGGTTGGCACGAGGCACATCGCAAGTGCTTTGCGTGCGAAGACCGTCAAATAGTTCATCTCTGTTACCATAGCTAGCCCGGCATCTGCGTGTTCTGTCCTGCCTTGTGTCTGAGTCCCGATGTGACAGCGAGACCTGGGCACTTAGGCAACTCACGGAGCAAGTGTAGCTGTAGGAGACAGACGGCGTCTTGAAAGGTTGCGATGCACTCTTCCTCTTGTTTTAGCTGTCGCCCGCTGCAGCTTTCAAGCTGGACGAACGGAAGATCGAAAGCCTCCATGCAGCAGACTCGGACATCAAACTCGGACATGACAAAGTCCTGCCTTCGGCACAGCACTTCAGCGTTCAGGCGAGCTGGGGATTTCCGTCGGCACCTGCCGGATGTGTCTGTGTGGTTCTGCGGGGCTGGGGAAGCGATCTGCAGGCACGATGTAATGCTGTTTAGGGTTTCGGGTTTAGGGTTTAGGGTTTAGGGTTTAGGGCCACGACAGCCTGGTCGAGGCCAAAAGAGGGCCCGTTTGGCTGCTTGTCGCGACACCCTGCCTCGGGGCGATCTACAGAAAGGGCAGGACGTCCATGCTCCTGCAGTGGCTTGAAAGCTGATTGTCCATGCTTTCCACTGTATCTCAGGCGCCTGGGCCGCAGCCGTGACGCCTTCCTGGGAAGGCGTTACAAGGTTGGACTGCAAAGAACGTGCTCATGTATGTCCGCGTGCGGGTGTAAGCTCCGGAGTCCTGAGCGTTGATGCCCTGTTCTGCTGTCTGCAGCTCCTGCGCGATGGCTATATGTTAAGGCAAGCATTTGTTGGTCTCTGTGTGCGTCAGCTGCATGAAACACCCCTTGCCTCAGAAGGATCTCTGTCTGCTGGACTTGTTGGGCTTGGGTCCTGCGAACACAGTTTTTTCTAGGCTACGTCTATGTTTCTGCAGGCACGATGTAATGCTGGGTGTGCATTCCCAGCCTGGGCTGAATCTGTGACGCCTCCCTGGGAAGGAGTCACTGGGTTGGAGCGGTCTGGAACTGTCTGCAGCGCCTGCGCTCGGCGTTTGCTAGTTATACCTCTAGGTCTCTATAGGTATAGGAGTACAGCAGTTTGCAGTGAGCTTCCTTTGCCTCGTTGGCAGCTCGCAGGCTCAGCAGCTCTTCCACGAGCTCGTCCACCATGATCTGGTCAGGATCCAAGGTTTCAGCTTGCTAGACTAGAATACCCGCTGGGCACATAACTAGACTAGACTTCCACTGCCTCTTTCGTCCGCAGCTTCCGCTGAAGAGTGCATGCCTTGATGTCATGTCAACACTACTTTATCGTTTCTTCGGAGAGTAAAAACGATGGCCTCCTCCGTGGTCTCCTGCAGCTTGTGTCCTATCGTTGTTGCCTGCCGTGGACATTAGATGTCAGACACAGATAAATCTGTATTCCGGACCTCCTCTGCAGCACGATGCTCTGCCTTAACAGCAAGCAGTAAGCTGCTCTGATTTCATCGACAACTGGACGGCCTCTGTGGAGCATTCCAGCTGCTCCCGCAGGCTTGCAACCTTCGCAGGTAATTTAATTGTTTCCAGGCGGTTTGCTGACGGAATGGATCTCGGACCTCGGCAGCATCCTCCTGTGCCACGGCAGAGGAGAGCATCGCTGTGGCCTTTCAGTTGCACAACATCCGCAAGCAGGACTCCTTGACATCCCCCTATCCCCCCCCGCCCCCCCCAACCTGCGCGGTTTCCAGCTGCTTTCTCAACTGTTGTACCTGACCGGGAGGATGAATCAGTCTGGCAAGCATGTGTTGGAAGTCCACCGCCTTGTTGACGGCCTCCTCCTCATGAAAGTCTGCGGTGCACACAACACACTTGGCCCGGAAGCCTACAAAAGAATGAGTCCTGGAGATCCTTCTGGCTTTGCAGCTCTGCCTTCCAGGCCTCGTCCTGCGCCGAAGCAAAATTTGGTAGGAGGCGAATCAGTCCTGCAAGCACCATTCCCGGGTCCTGGAGACTGTTGCGGTTCTTGGCTGCCAACTCCTGCGGCCAAGTCTCAAATCGAGAACTAAATTGGATGCCTGCGACTACCGTCCTCCTGGGCCAGCTTTGCTCTGACCTCGTTCCTCTCGCTGGTCTCCCTGGCCACACACAGCTCCTCCGCTTTGAAGCGAAGCCACCAGTGGCGCCCCCGCTTCACCTGCTCTTTGCACAGCTCCTGCGCGGGGTCATGTACATGTTGCAACATCCGAGGAGATGCCAAAGCCCCGGCCTG